AACCGCCGCTCATGGTCTGGACCAAAAAGGGAAGGAGCGGTCTGCAGATATTTGGATCGATGGCAGTTGGATGGGGTGCTTTGGATGTCTTTTTGAGGCCGGTGGTGAAAGAAGCAAATGTCCAGGTAGATCCAACGGTCGAGGAAAGAAGAAAGGTCCCATTCCGGGAACGGATGCATGGACTAGACATGACTAGACGAGTATATAGATTCTTTATGATTCATTGCTCATCCCTAGATCACTTCAAACCTAACACCCTGGAGCCAAGCATCCGGCTTCCTTCGTGAAATTCCTCACAGCCAGAAAAACTACATGGCTTCATGACCTCACCAATGGCTTCATCCTGTTTGGATCCCCGGTTCACCCCTTCTCCGCGCAGCCAGGCGCTGCAAGGCAGCGTGCGTCGCATGCAGCGGGCCATGCCCCGCGCCCCTGGCGACCCCGAGAGGCCACACGGACGACGCACCGGTGGTTGGAACGGGAAGCGACCATGGAGAACGGAATTCTGGGTTTGGAAAAGGCCAGAAAAGATGGAACAGGGTACACTCACTGAAATGGAGTGGAACTCCATGATTCGTTCAGGGAGCGTAGAGTTGTTGTTGCCTCACAAGTTGACATAGTCGGCGTGAGCCTTGAAGATGAGGAAGACGCCAAAAACTCCTAAACATGCGAACATGCATCTTAGTCAATTCTTTAGATCACTCGGCTCGAGCGTTTTGGAGGTGAGAACCTGCGTGTTTAAAACTTGGGTTCTGAAGAGTACCGAGCGAATCCTTTTTGGACCTGGTGCGATCTGAGCCCGATTCTCTTCATGGCAGGGCGTAAGCTAGATCCCTGAGCAGTGAAGTTCGGGAACTGTCTTTGCGCTCAACCTTTTTTGGAAAGAGACCATGGGGATGCGAGCGCCCTCTTAACAAGTGCGTGACTCCGGTCTGTAGCCTCTTCCTTTTTTCTTTTGTGGCAATAGGGATTCGGAGTCGGTGCGGTCACTAATCACATCCGAAGCTCTGCGTAGCGTCCAATGGCTACCTTAGGCTTTTGCTGCTTCCATGCAATGCACTTCTGAAGCGCAAAGGCTCTCTCTGAGCGGCGAGCAAGAGCTGTAATGATAAAGAAGGCAACAAAACGCGACCTGGCACCCGCTCGAACAGAAAGAGACTCGTTGTGCTTTAGCAGCCTGTTGCATGGAGAAGCTGCAGCTGCGACCTTCTTGAAATTGGTTATAAGTGGCTTCCACTTGACTTTGTTCCAGAGCTGCCACTCCTGTTCAGAATCCACAGATTCAAGCTCTTGGGCTCACACTGCCAATCCATTGGAGATTGGACAGAAAAGGATCCTAAATGGACCCTACCCAATTTAACCCAACCCCTGTCAACATGAACCCCGAGCTGAGAACCCCTGCGCGTTCAGAACGCGGCGTTTCGTGTTCGGTGGGCGATGTTTTCCAAGGTCAACCCCAAGACAATGGACGTAACTGCAGATGTCCAATAGTTCTCAAACAACAGTTTCTTCATGTTTCCGCCTATTCCGTCAGGCGGAATGGAGCACCAGGTCAAGAAGCCGGTGAGCGAGTCATCCTGGGATAGCATCATATGTTTTAAACTCATACTGCGAAGGTATCCTGCTCCGGGGTCAAGCCTGCCATCCTAGGCCGTGTGCCCATGCAGTCTGGGTTTTGGACAGAGTTGGCTGTATGGATGTCATGAAGAGTAGTTCTTTCAGGATTTGGATTGGTGCGCCCCTTGTGATTTGCTTGTACGAGTGTTCTTAGATCACTGAGTTGAATGAGCAAATTTGTTGCATCTGCGGCGCTTGTTCTGGCAGGCGACTTTGAGCGAGTTGCTTCAAGTCGTTCGGAGCAACCAAACAAGAAAGTTCAGAATCCCACAGGGATAACCAAAGGCCGTGCCTGCTCAGTCTGTCGCGCGCCTCGCTTCCCAGAGCCAAACCACGCGCCGTGGCACGTTCGCAAGGGCAAGGGAGGTGTGCTTCTAGCAAAGTCAGGCGGTTGCGCCCCTTGTTTGTGGGCATCTCGCCAGAAGCTCCCGCGGGAGCAGTGGCCACACTGGGCTGAATTCAAGGCAAAGAGATGGCCCAAGCAGGTGGCGGCCAGCATGGACACATAGTTTCGGAAACATGCCATGGGCTTGTGAGAAGCTTGGCAGTGCACTACCCAAGCAAAAGCACTTTCCATCGCATCTCTGGTGTTCGTGGAGAAGATAGGGACGTTGCCGAGCAGCTCCTGATATTTATCACTTTGTTGCCAGACAAGGACAGTAAGACTCCAACAGAGCTTTGGGCTGGCTACACGAAGAAAGTTCCTGCTGTAGTTGACACTGCAGCCGAGCTCTCCTGCATAGAGCCGGCTGCAAAAGCGAACTTGGTGCGATGGTCTGGAGATCTCCTTGCAGAGATGCGCAAGCGCAAGAACTTTGAAGAGGCTCAGGGACAACCGCAGCAGAGCGCGCGTCTTCAGCTAGCGCGATGGGCCAGTCCAAGTGGAGCTTGATTTGGAGGACCCAGCAGATGCAGAGAAGTTTTTGCTCAGCAAGTTCAAGCCGGAGAAGCGTGAACAGCTGCAGCCAGTGGCTCATTTCTATCTCCAAGAGCTTAAGAAGGGAAAGAAAGAACCTTTAGTGACTTTAGTGAACCTGCTGCGGAAGGAAGTGATTGGTCCAAAGATGCTTGACTCCGCCAAAGGGCGACAGGCATGGGTTGATTGCTGGAGTGCCAATCGTGCACTGCGTTTTGTCACGGTCAACATGTAGGGGAAAGCTGCGGACCGAAAGAGTCAACACGCCTGTGCCATTGTGATGTGGAACTACCAAGCACACAAAAGTCATAAAAGTATCTAATTTTGTAGCCGTGCGGGCACATTTCTGCTTCGAAACATGATGCATCCGCAGAGTCTCTGCGAAACATGTGCCCATGCGGTTCTCTCATTTGTCTATGTGACTTTTCGCGAAGGTGGTGACTTTAGTCTAATGAGCTGTGCCCATGGGATACTTGACTTCGCACCAACATATTTGACTTTAACACTTCCGCCTAGTATGGTCTTGTCCTATCAAAGCAGAGGTCAAATGGGTTCCAGATAAGTATATATATATATATGTATACCATTTGTACCACATGTGCTTCTTTATGGGTTACAGCGTCTACGGTATAGTAGTCGGCCGACCGATATGGAGAAATCGATTCGCTGGACCGTCGCCCCTCACATCGCCGGACCCGCCTGGAACCCACAGGCCGCCGGCGCCGGCGCCTGAGTCGCCGCAGAGTTCGCCGGGCGGATCGCCACGCTATCACCGGGTGAAGCTGGAAATTGAGGCGTGGAAGAGACATGAAGAGACGACAGAATGACATAACAGGGTGGAAGAGGTGGCAGCATGATGGCTAAAGTTCTCCACAACAGCTTGGAAAACACGTTTGAAAATCCATGTGGATCCTGTAAAGAAGTGTCCTTTCTATTCCTTTCAATTTGGTTCCTTTTATATAGTTGATCCAGAAGGCGAATGTTCGAGCCACCGAGAGCCTCCGAAAGCCTAATTATAAACACTTTGCATGGCCGGCATGGCCGCGGCCAGGTGGTGAGAGCCACAGACCTTCCCTCGGCCGCCTTGCTGTCCACGTCGCTCGGAGCGGAACCCGTCGGGACGGCACATGTCTACGCCCCAGGATTCCAAACTATCATAATCCGTGTTCTTTTCCGAACAACAGTGGTTTTACTAAGGTTTTTGGACTAATTGCAAAACCAGGTCAACCATGTTTAATAGATGTTATTGGTGTTGGAAGGTCATGGGATAGGTGATGTTTAGATATGTTGAGCTGTGTGTGGATTTGGAATTGGGTGTTTAATGATGCTATGACTGCCCAATATCGATCGACTCAAAAACTGCCAAATAATCTGAATGACTGGGAAATGTGTTTCTTGGAAGTCTTGCTGTGTACCGCACCACTCTTGGACAAGGCGTGACACCTACAAGATCTGCAAATTTACTACTGTGTTCTTATATGTATAATTGTTAATATGACTGTTAACTTACAGATCACATACTGCAGTTAATCAACAAAAACAAATCTTGACTACTGTCCAGGTCCCTGGACAGCATATCCCAGAAGTACATTATACTTGATGTTACTTGTATTTGTCAACAAGGAAAACGTCCCAAATTGCTAGATCTCTGGAATAAAAGGCCCATCGGCCGGGGTGTTCTTCCTTCCCGTTGCCGCCCTTGCTGAGGTCTGACCCCTATGTCGTTGTGAGCATCGTGGATGGCCATCCTTTGCAAGATCCTGAAGCATTGAAAGGCCCGGTTCCGGACTTCTTTCCGCAGATCCGACCTGACCCGACATGAGCCGAACCGATGAGCCGAAACGGAGACGGTGGGCACAGATGATGGGTGACAGATCAGAAATGTATTAAGATATCTTAAGATTATCTCAAGATCATGCAGGACCTAGATATGTTTGGCAGTTTTACAAGCACTCTTGAAACAGGGATTTGGATGGATCAAGGTGTTCCAAAGAAACCTTGCCAAATGGCCACGGTGTAGTCTCCTCCCGCACTCTGAAAGAGAAGATCTGCCAGGTTACGAGGACTGGCGCTCAGTGCATGAGCAATTTAGTGGACAGACGCGTGTCGCAGAGGCCTCTGGAGCTGCACTGCAGGGTTGGACTGGGTTCCCTTTTTGTGGAACCATTATATATATAATATATATAGTTGATTGCGAGTAGATGGCACAGACCCCAAGAGGTGGTTTATATGAACCCCCATCTAAAGGACATCATGGCGTCTGTGCCATCTACTCTGAACCCACTGAGCAAAAACATATCTTGACAATGCCAGCTCCGCATGGGAATGGCATTAGTTGGATGTGTCCAACCTCCCCCACCAATCCATGGTAGGTCGACATCAGTTGACATCCCTTTTTTTTCGAGCAATCGGTTTATTTGACCCGGGGTCAGGGGTCCACCTGTTTTGACCCAAATCGCATTTTGGCATGCTTAGCTTGATCCCAACATCCCTGGGACAGCAGCCCCAGCGAACTCGCAGTTCCAGTGCACGAGAGCAGGGGACGAACCCGGAGTTCCGTGCACGGTTCCTGGCAGAGGTCCGGAATCGAGACGCTTGGGAAAGCGTTTCAAGAAGCTTTTTTTGGTTTGAAATGCTCCCCCAGTTTGGCATTCCCCAAACAAATCCTATGTGGTCCTGACAGTTGATGAGGAGAAAATCTTAGTTGGTTGAATTTGTATAGTTATGTGCCAGTACCAGGACCATCCAATGGTCCAATGGACTACCCTACACTACTTATATGGCTAGGTACCTCCATTGAACACCCATTGGATTGTCCAGGTATGCATGAAGGACATGAGTAAATGTTACTAGCTTGATCTAATTTGACTCGTCAAACTTTCCATGCAAGGGCCGTTTGGCTGTGTCTTTCTGGGAACATCAACTTGTGCCGTATACTTACTCGCATGTTTTTGCATGTTTTGGCTAAAGGAGTGACTCCCCGAAACTCTTGGCCGATTCAGAAATTTTAGCTGAGTTCATTGCTCAATTGCTGGGGTCGGTCTTTTTCTTGTTTGCTTCGTGTGAAAGCCGCAGGGTCTTCCGCTGGACTCACATCCTAAGGAACAGACTCACATCCATTTCCGCCTGCTCGATCAGGACCCGATGTTCAGCAGTGCCAGCGGGTGCTGAGGGCGGCCCTTCGCACCGGACCCACACGTGCACAACACCCATCGGCCATCCCCAGCCACACTCCGGCGTATAAAGTGATCCCTTTTCAACCACGGACCCCCAATTTATGTCGGTGTCTTAAAATAAATAAGTCAGTAGACCTCCCAGGCAACGACCTCCCTTTCAGGTTCAGGAAATAGACCAGTCTACCCAGCTCTTGTCAGGCCTATCCGCTTCGGCAGGATCGTTGTCCCAGCCCCGCCGATTCGGAGGATGAAGATCCATGGGACATAGGGTTTAGGGATTAGGGGATTAGGTTGGATTGGCCATATTGGGCCCAATTCACTTCTACCACAGGCCCTTCACTTGTGATCCAAACGCTGGACCCCCCCAAAAAACGCATGCCACGGTAGGTTGACCACGGTCCATTGGACGTTGATTTGGTGCAGTGAACCCTCTGTCAACCGGCTTAGTTCGACCCGCATCCACTTAGATGCCCAGCGCGTGGCACTTGAACTTTGCAATTGAACTTTTCACATGGCAACCATGTGCGACTCATCTGTCACATATCATAATTTGCTGCGACCAGTGACAGTAGGATGCAGGATTCAGAGGATGCAGACAGCAAAGACATGGGATTTCGTTGACCACTCTCTTGCCACCGGTAGATCCTACTGTTGCTTGGATCAAATAGAATCTACTCATCTGTCGTTTTCGCACCATGGCTTGGTCCCTGCGCCTTGGTCCCTCCCCCACCACGGGGGTTGCTTGCGACAGGACAGCATTTCCCATGCAGACCGGGAGATTGGCCAGGCGAGGAACAGAACGATGGGCAGGGACGGTACACGGGACATGACCTCCGGGGGTGACGGTTCGGTTCGGGGTTCGAGTTGGACGTTCCGAGCCGAAGGGTTCGGATGTTTTGGGCTTGGCCAAACATCTCCAAATCCCAGGTCCCTCCATGGGTAGGGAAGACCAAAGGTCGAACGATGGATCCCTAGTCCCTTCAACGTAACCCAATGTATCAGTCCCGTGGAGTGGTGTGTTCTGTCCCGTGGAGTGGTTGGGTATGTTATACACTGTTCACCGTTATACACATATTTATGTGTTGTGCACTGTTGTTCAACGATGATGGCATATGTTTGAGCCCTGAAAACTCGAGCACCTCCAATCCAAGTGGACTTAAAGTCGGTTTCTTTGCCTATTAAGAAGAAACAAGTTCTCCACGTGTTCAAAGCTCCAAGGTTCAAACATCTTTTGAGCATATTTGGTGATCAACGTTGCTGAGACATGACCCTAAACTTGAGGGGTTTTAATACAGCCACAGAAGAGTCCGGAGATTTCTCAGAGTTCTGGCAGGCTGAACTGACTTCCATAGCCGGAAGCCTTCCACAAGCCAGAAGAACCGCCGGAAACGGTACTCGTTGAAGAGAAGGGTTAGCAGAGACAGATAACGAGAGTTCCTGTTTGGCCATGCAGGTGCTTGTTTTCTTCGTCTCCCCCGCTGCAGACTAACATGGACCCTTTTTCATGGCCAGGAAGGCCAAGTTCCTCTATATATACAGTCCTGTGCAACGGGAGTCTTGGTCATCAGAAGTCGTTTCAAGCCATGGCTGTGGGTGAGAAAAGCACCAAGCAGAATGGATACGCTGCATGGAAATCCTCTGAAATTCTGATAGGTTTGGGATGTCTAGGATTTCACCCATGTGACGCTGTGTCACAGTTTTCTTAGACGGGGTGGATATTGAAGGGGCATTGGGAGTGCCTCACTCATGATCAAAAAGCATCAAGAAACTACTCCTGGTTTGGAATGTTCTTCCTTTAGCTGTTTCGTTCTCTCTTCTGATCCCAAGAAAACAAGCGGAGTGCACCATTTTGGTGCCCTGCTGTGCAAACCAATCGTCGCAACAAAGAGATGCGGAGACAAGGGGTCCGATGCTCCCGAAGAAAGGCTTTTTCTGAACTGACCTCTCCCCTGAAGTCTCACCCCCCACATGCTCAGAACCCAGACACGCCATGAGACTCTCCTTTTTGCCAATCCATTGATCCCCTTATCCAACCATCCCACTTGACCCCTCAGATTTTTCGCTCTTCGTCCCACCTATCGCTCGCCCTTCTACGTGGGTCTCTCCCCATGGTTGCGGCACCGGTTGGTTGCGGCACCGAACGGTCCCGGTCCCCGCCGAGCGAACGGACACCGGTCCGAAGGGCGCTCCGAAGACGGCGACGGCTTTGGCGCAGGCCGTGCTTCCCTTGGTCGACGTGCTGGGTGAGTCCTGGGCAGCCGTCCGTGCCATTGCCCTGAGGCCGTTCGGGTGAGGAGGGGAGAGGTTGATTGGGGAAGGGGGAAAGCAGCAAGCAATGGAAAAGGTTTGGAAAAAGGATAAAGAGTACCACAATGTACCACATGACCATCGAGAGCTCCTGTCTCTACCAGCATTGCTGGTCGTACATTGATGTGGAGTCTCACAGGTCATTTCACTACTGAGCTCACACCAAAACCCAGGCGTGCGAGAACTCCCTCGATGAATCTCAGATCCATAGCCATAAGTGCAGAAGTAAGATGATCCAGCCTCCAAGATGCACACAAACCGCTGCCTTGTTTTGATTTGCGTGGGCCAAAACTCAAGGAAAGTAAGAAAAAGCGAGTCTCCTCGAGCCTGCAAGGTGCAGGATGTTGCAGGAAGTTGATTGAGGAACCAATGCGAACAGTTAGATGATGCCGATGCAAAAAGGTCAGAGAAGATGATACATAAGGACCCTCCCATAAGGACCCTCCCATAGCACACCTTGAACATCCTTGAACCCTTTGTGACAGAGGTGTTGGACCCTCAAAGCATCTCAAATCACTTGTTTTTGGATGCCTCAGGGTAGAATGCTAAGAGGCGTAGCGTAGAGCAGCGTAGCGTAGTCAGCGTAGTAGCCTGATGAGCCACGTACACACACACACCACGAAAAACTAAACTCAATTCGCGAAAGCTTCGAGAAAGCTGTAGCAAAAGATGGAACAAAAGCATGGTTGCAAAAGGGATGCGAAAGGTCACTTTGAATACAGCGGCTTGCCAATGTTCGTAGTGTTCATAGATGTGATGATTGTGGGGGACGACCTCTTCTATGGTCTATGTTGGAAAATCATACAATCTATATACATGTTCATAGACTATAGATCTTGGATCAAGTGCTTTACTTGGTAACTGTCAATTCTTGTAATTAACTGATTTTGCAGCATTGATCAAATGGACAGATGCTATAGTGGCGACTCAGTTAGTTCATGATAGTTCTATATTTCATGGTGCTACCTCACATGCAAAGGGATTCGGTCATTTTGACAAGATTCTAATCATGACACTGCAGTTTGCAGCAACGCCGCTTTTCCCGGGCAAAACTGCGACAACTCCTGTTGTTTGGTATTGCTGCAAGCTGCTACACTTTCCAAGAGATCCGACCTCATAAATGCTACATGCTCACTGACAAAAGCTTAGGTGAGCATAGGTAGTCTCCCAGAACACAAGCGGGTAGTGTCCTGCTGTTGGTTCCAGGTTATTATGCCAGCATTGCCAACACCAGAGGGTTCTTTCCTCAAGCACACAACGTTGCGGCAGCGGGCTTCTCACTGCACATCAGGCCAATGGACCGCACAAATGCACAAGCCTGGGCGGCCATTTCAAAGACTCGGCTTCATGCGACCCGAAGTGAGCTGATTTATAAGTCTAAGGATCAATTTGTGCAGGAGTCGACACTTGTTGACCTGAAAGGCATGCACAATCATAGGTTCTTGAGGCCGCCATGATGGCTTGAAATTGATAGCTTACATGCATAGTCGTTTGCATGAGTCTATATTTTATTCGGAAGATGCGGCATGAGGAACACGACTTGCTGCAAGACACGGGATCCCAGCTGTTTTTGGCTGGCTATTTCAGGTTGCTGTGATTTCAGAGGGAATCCTTGGAAGAGTGAAGAACGAGGAGCAGATTCAGCGTGCCTGGGATGTAACTTTTATGAGTTTATAATGTTTGGTGCTCAGAAACTAAAAGAAACTGGTTCTTCCTCTAAGTCTTATGAGAATATATTGACCCACTTTAGATCCGGTATCTCAAAAGAGAGGGGGAAAGAAATGGGAGCCAGGCGGTGCGGCGGTGCTCATGTAGTTGACACTCCAAGGCGCCGCTGCCAAGTGGCAAGTCCAAGCGCATGGCAGGAGGGCGGCACGACCACGCGCGGACCAGGAGACAGGTGGGAGATGGACTCAGCGTGGTGTTTGTCGGAGATGGCACCTTTCAATGTGTTTCTCCAGTTCCCACCACGACACGAAGTAAATATAAACTGAGTGAAAAACCGCTCACATGGTCGGACGCGCTCCCAGCACGGTGAGGCCTTCTGGACTTTTTTTGGATGAAGCTGTGTCTTCAAAGCCTTGGTCTGTCAATGCGTGGAGCCTTGACAGCATGTATGTTTGCTAGACCGTTTAGGTTTAGGTCACTAAAAACGGCAGAGGAGTTGAGTGTTTGGGACAGAGGGGAGCAGAGGGCATCGAGACAGTGTTGGGTTCAATCCTCACCCAGAAAAGAACTCTCTTGCGCGCTAGGCGTTTCCATGCGTTTCCAACAGGTGGGTGACGACTACCAGTTCTTAGATCCAGACAGATAGGTCAGATAGGTCTTGTATCTGGACATATTGGCTTCTCAAATGAATTTTGGGTTGCAGAGATTGGTCAGGTCATTCTACAAGGGCCAGAGAAGGTGGACATGCGCTGCATGTTTTCCCGTGTTGTTTTGGGGCATGCGAGGAATGAAAGCTGTGGGACTTGGAATATGTGGCAATGAAAGTACATGCATGCAATCCTTGAAAATTGTATAATTACACCAAATCAGCCGATTCAACAGGAACCATATATATATATTGGTTAACAAAAAGGTCTTAAAAGACAATTTTACCATTAGGACCTTTGCATGCTGGCGAAATGCTGGTGTAGAAGGTGCTAAGAATGCGTGACGATGTTTTGTATGTTCAGCTGCCACGTTCAGCCTTGGATCCTCTTGGGCATCAAAGTTTTACGCGACATGCGAACATGTGAAACTTGTGCTGAAGCGGACGCGACGAGCATGCAGGGAGATTGGGAAAGTCATGAAAGCGGAGTTGTATCATAGGTTGGAAATTTGAAAAAGCATGTGACAACATTTTTATATAGACACATGATAAATGATGCGTTGTTTGTCTCCGTATCGCATAGACACTATTCAGATTTCCCAATACCGAAGAACCGCCTGCTGTCTATATAATCCATAATGGTCAATCCCCTTCTGCTGAAGAGGTGTGTTAATATTTCCCGCTTCCTGGATTTGCTGTTCCAGCCAATGAAAACTGCTGTGTGGTGCTAGGATTGGGAGCTCTATGAAGACTGAAGACGCCATGCGAGCCTTGACGCCATGCGACCATGTGCGAGCCTTGGTGTTTAAATTTGGGTGAATCGGACCCTGTTGAGTTGGAGACGGACGGTTTTGGAGAGGTCCAAACAGAACACTGTGCTGTCGGGTGCATGCGTACCGACCGTGAAACAGAACTGCTGGTGCTAGTGGATGCTGGTGAACAGCTGGTGGATACTGGTGGTGAAGTTGCATCTCCCTGCCTGCAATGATTTTCCTGTCGCCTCCAAGGAGGACGCTGGTGCACGGAAGACGTGGCGACGGTTTGAACTGCAAGGCCGACTTCAAAGGAGCAGCTGTGTTCTTCCAAGTGTCACCACGAGATCGGTGTGGCGTTTTGAGCATCGGAATCCGAAACTGGACCAAATCCCCATAGAAACACGGGTCCGGTCCTTGTGAACGGCGCACGGGTCCGGCCATCTGCCGAAGCTTGGGGGTCATCCTTCCACTGCAATCATCGCGGGAAACCACCAGAAAGAAAGGGCTAAAACTGATCAGGTAGACGAATGGGGGAGGGTTATGAATCAAGAGATCTACATTGAACTCGATGTTTGGATCGTGGCGACGGGTGTGTGGACCGAGTGCCATCACCCCGAAGGACGTTCGACGAAGCTCACTCAGGCACTCTCGACACCCGGACGAGGTCCCGGGACGTCCAGGACGTGCAGGACGTGCGCGAAAGGAAAATGGACTCCGGATGTTTAGACCGCTTGCGACGCCATTCTGAGCCATGTGTTCTACGGGGTCCAGCCTAAGTTGAGAGTACCAGGACTTCATGTGGGCTAGATTCATAGAAAGATTTAGAAGGCCTATGGCGGCCTATGTCAGTTGCCTGGTTTTGCTTATGGTGATTTCGTATGTTCCCTATAGGGCCCTAGGGGCAAATCCCCTTTGGGGGAATGTTTTTTCACCGGCTTCCTGGACACCAAATCAAAGGTTGTGCTACATCAGTGAAGTCGCTGGCGATTGGCGATGATTTGATTTTGACATCCAAAATATCCAAAGTGTTCTGCGGAACCAGGGGGATCCTTTTTGACTAAGTCGGAGAGCTCAACGTTTGAAGCCCGTGGAGCGGATTCGATGTCAGAGATAAAGACAAATTCGGATCATGTAGGACCAACAACTTGGGATCGATATGCAGAAACTGCAGAGCAGATCAAGCTTCAAGTTCCTCCAAGCTGTGCACAAACCCTAAACCCCAGCCGTTGAATCAGTCATTGACACAAAGCAGATCAGGCAAAGACAGCACAGGTTTTTGTGGTTATCGGTGGTCATCAACATGATTTTTGTTATTGTTTGTTCCTTTTTTGACTAGTCTCCACAAATATCAGTGGCTTCAGGATGATAGTGGTCCAAAGGGTGATCTTGACAGGTTCCACATGCATGACTGTCCGATTGAAATTGAGTGGTAGGCCATAGCGATCAATATTGTAGTCATGATGCAAGTGGCGTGAGTAGTTGCTCTGTGGCTTGCCACTTGCGGCTCGTCCGTCATCACTGTTCCAAGATGAAAAGAAAAAAGCGACGTACTCGCTGCTGTGCAGAAGAATGGATTACAGCTAGCAGATGCTCCAGATGACCTCAAGGCTGACAAGGCAGTAGTGATGCTGGCTGTCAGCAAAAGCGGGGAAGCACTGCAATATGCAGCGAAGAAGCTGACAGGTGACAAGGATGTCGTGTTGGCAGCCGTGCGTCAACGGGGTACAGCCCTTCAATTCGCAGCAAAGAAGCTGCGAGCTGATAGGGAAGTGGTCACTGCGGCAGTGTCGAACTCCTCCATGGCATGCTTCAGCGAAGAACCACTTGCTTTTGCATCTCGAGAGCTCCAGCGCGACAAGGAACTTGTTCTTACCGCGGCGTGCAAGTGTCGGGCGACGCCCTTAAACATGCATCAGCTCATCTCAAGGCTGATAGAGACGTGGTTGAAGCAGCTGTGGCGAAGAGTGGCTGTGCGCTGAGGCACGCATCCTTTTGCATGAAGGCGGATAAGGAGGTGGTCATGACTGCTGTGGCAAACTATGGCGGTGCCATTGATTATGCCTCAGCCGCATTGCAGCGCGACAAAGACGTGATCCTGGCAGCTGTAAAGCAATCAAGTCTCGCCCTTTGCAAGGAGTCTATAGCCCAAAGCGCGGACAAGGAGGTCATCTTGGCATGCATCAACTTTCATGGCGAAGGGCTCCACTATGCTTCTCAGGAATTGCAAGCGGATAAGGAGGTGGTTCTTGCTGCTGTGAAGAAAGATGGCTGGGAGCTCCGGTTCGCAGCGCCAGAGCTGAGAGCTGACAAGGAAGTAGTGCTGGCTGCTGTGAGACAAAGGGGCTTGGCGCTTGCTCATTGTGCCAAGGAACTGCAGCATGACAAAGAGGTGGTGCTAGCGGCCATGTCGCAGAACGGCTGGGAGTTGCGCTATGTGCCTGCGGCCATGAAGGACAAGGAGGTCGTGCTGACTGCAATGGCACCGAATGGTGACGCCCTTCACATGGCGCCTGAAGAGCTGAGGAAGAACCGCGACGTGGTGTTGACAGCTGTCAGGCAGCATGGCCACGCGCTGGGCAAAGCCTCAGTGGAACTACGGTCTGATCGTGATTTGGTACTTGCAGCAGTCATGCAGGATGGCAGAGCTTTGGAATATGCAGCTGCTGAGCTGCAAGAAGACGAGGCAATAGTGTTTGCAGCTGGGAGGCAGAATGGCCTCGCCTTCAATCATGCCGCCACTAAGTTCTTTGGTGCACCTTTGTGGCAAGAAGCCCAGCCGTTTTTGCAAAACCTGTGGGTCTTCAGGGTGTCAAGACTGAGCGGAGCATTTTGCTATGTGGTGGCCAAAAGCGACTACACGTCGGAAAGGATCCTTCGTGATGTGGCCCGGAAGTTGGGGATCGTCTGGTGGACGGGTTGTCACGATTCCGACGATAAATTCGAGCTCTTGAGGGACTCGACACGGCTCAGGCTGTACAAAGCTCACGTGAGTTGGTGGAATCTACCAGAAAGTGAGAAGGGTACCATAATCGACCTCAAACTTCTTGTGAAAGTTTGACGAGATGTGAACAATGAATTTGTGTTCTGTTGCAGCTACATTGAGTCGGCAAACGCTGAGAACGCTGGCCATGAAAAACGCAGGGGGGTGCTCCGACCGCCGCTAACCCATATATGGCAAATGGATGCAAATGGCCAAGCTGGCCAAGTTGATGCAATGTTGCTGTCACATTTGGCATCGTGAGGCTGTATGACACATATATCATACAACTATATATATATGTATATATACGTATAAGACTGCAGGGATTCTGAGAGACCAAATGCAGATGATGCAGCATGTGAACAGGTTCAGACATGGAAAGATTTGATTGCTAGCGTTCCATTATTGCATCCATGCTCATCCGACATCCACCCTGAGTTCAGCAGAAAACCATGGAATGAAGACAGGCTGAATGCTTTCTCAGAGCACCCATACCACCTTCAGATCTAAATCAACCAATGTCAACCATTGATGATGACCCTACAAATCCAATTTGCCAGACTGGGTCATGTATTGTTCATGTTTTGCAGGTGCAACATCGACCCAGTGACGTCTGTACATGGCATCTCCGCTACTAGTGTCTCTTCATAAGGTTGTTCTCATATATTCAAGATCGAATCAGGTATACCGCGAATGTCTCACGTAATCAATCGAGACGGTGGCCGGCCGGTGGCTGTTCCTGTGGCCGGTGGGCGGAGTCCGGTGACCGGTGGCTCCGGCGGCCGGTGGGCCGGTGGCTGGTGGCGCGATGGCCGGGCCGGTGGCTCAGCTTCTTCAACTGATGGATCTCTGGCGCGGTCTTTTCCCTCCTTGCTTCTCGACCTTGACGTCCGCACAGGCTTCAACCAATTAACCGGAGATATACTGCCCAATGTTGGTTGGCGCCGTCACTAGCAGCAACAACAATGCCTTTGCAAAGAGGTTGCGTGCCACAGTTCTTACGCAATGCATGCACTTCTTCGGTGTTTACACAGTACGTACAACTTTGGGGCAAAGCAGTTCTTATCCACCACAGCTCTTACACACACCCGCGTTTACACGCCACCGCATTCACGCAAACTGGCGTTCACACACTAGCTATGGTTTTACGCAAACCAGCCTTGACACGACACCAGATAACACTAGATGCCGTAGCAACCTCTCCTCGTGACTCCTCCCACTCTGATGTGGCACACACCTTTAAATTTGTATGGCACAAATTTGGCACCGGGCAGTTGTTACAAACCACAATTGCTGTTACACTGCCCTGCGGCCTTGCGTTTAGACTGCAGGGTTACATATTTCTGCGCACAGCAGTGAATTTACACTCTGCAGTTTCTACGCGAAGCAGTGTGTACGCTGCACACGGGCCCTTTTTGCACACGCCACCCCACCAGATCTTCTACACGAAGCAGCGTTTACATTGCAACATGTTCAGGGAACCCCCTCCACAATCACCGGGATCGACGCATTTGCATCGCACCAGACCATGCCATTATGTCCTTCCAACCTCTCCTCTTTCTAGAAAACTGTTCTCGCCGATCACCTGGTACATATCTACCTTTCGTGTTTTCCCTTCCCTAGTTGAGGCAACATTTTGCGCTTCGTTTGCAAAGGTGCCCTTGGTTTTGCTGTTTCAGTAGGTATGTGCCAACTTCACACTTGGAGCGTTTTGCCGACTGAAGACGTTTATATTCTTCAGATTATTTCAGTGGTTGAACTAGTGCTGATGGTTCAAGCTTGAAATCATATATCAAATCACAAGTGATCATGAGGGGATGGGTCCAAGTTGTGTTTTTGAGTCCATCATTCACTCAAGCTGGCTCTTAAAGACCATAGGATACCATGGATATTTTTAAACTATGCCCTGTATATCCAACCTTGTCACTCAGGTATGTTCAATGTACATGTTGGAACATAAGGTTTTTAGTTCCGGCAGTATTGATAGCACGTTCATCATGACAAGCGTCGCTGCGTTGATCACGCCCGGCATGGAACTGCGGCCGTTTGACCTTGATATGCTGCTGATTCCGCTGGTCTCTCGGCGCCTGAGTTTGCGACGACAGGAGCCGGAGTGTGAATTCCCACGATCGTGTCACATGTAGCCCTGCTGGAGTGTGAAGCAGGAGTATCAGGAGTCTTGAGGTCTTGGGAGACTTTCAATTTCCACCTTTGCCGATGGTGATGGTGACGACGGAAGAGAGCAGACAGGAGCCGCAATGGTGCTGCCCATAATGGGTGCACATGTCCTTATCATGGAAGGTCCAGCTGCACAAGACTTTTCCACTGGCAACCTGCTGAGTGGCAACTTAGGGTCTTCGAAGAATCTTTTAAAGCAAGTGTAGTATTTGAGTCAATCATAGATTTGCCCAAAACAGCGGCATTCGGACTTCCAAACTCAGGCGTTTTGTCTCAGAGCCAAAGCCGCCGCGGGCTGGAACTAGGGCCTTCGCGAGTTTGTATCGGAGTTTGGGTAGAAGCAACCAGCTGGGAAACATACAGTGCACGCGCTAAGCTGGTGACATCACCTATGAGTCAATGCGTGCAAGAGAAGGCTCGTGACTTTCTTTTTGCAGTGGGATTCCTTAGAAGCCCATGGAAGCCTACGGAGACTCTACAACATCTTCGACAGCTCTGGATGTTTTAAAGTCTGTATAGACTCTGGAGCCACTCCTTCAGGCTTTTGCAGACCGCCCTTGCTCCAATCCCGCTCCTCGTGTCGCACTGGCCGCGATGTAAGCACCTTCCCACTGGGCCATGCGGTGAACATGTGTCGTTCGACGCGGGGAGAAGTGTTGGGACCGAGCCTTATGGCCTTTAGGGCCCCAAGTGTCAGACGAAGGAGGGAGAAGAAGCTGAGGAAAGAGTCTCTTCTGATGGTTTCTCATGGTTTTTCTAAAGCCGTGAATTCGCGCAGCACGTTTCAGCGTCACGGTTGACTCGCTTCTACTGAGGTGGGGTTTGGGGTTTGGAATTGTGGTCTGTCAACCTTTCATGATGAAACAACCATCGCCAACCGCCAACCTACAGATCTACAGATCAAGTCACTGTCCAGGTCGCACATGTGTCGAGCATCGATGGGTAACGCAATAGACTGCAACTTATCCTTGGTCGGCTCGCTCATTTTAGAGAGAGGCTGACGTCCTTAAGTGGTTGGGCCCTGCTCGCTCGGCACTCTGACGGTCGGTCTAGACCGCCACGCATGTGTGGGGTTGGCAACGGCGGTGACGTCGCTTCGGCCAGTTGAGACTGTCCACGAAGGTGGGAGAAATGTATTGATCGATGCAAGACTAGGTATGGCGGAGCGGACTGAGGGTTTGGGAACCAGTTGTGGAAACATGAGGCGAGCTTCTCTGCGGCGAGATACGGCTTGGCGACAGGGCAGGACATTCCCAACCTTCGGTATGCCTTCAACAAAAGGGGCAACATACGGCAACCTCATAGGATTTGCTACAGGTCTTTGGACACTTCCAGCACTTCCCATTCCGCTAAGGTTTCTGGGCTTGAGCCATAGTGAGCGATTAAGACTTGGGGCGATTCACTTGGTACTGTCCAAAGTTCAGTGCCTATCGAAATCAATAGCTGCTAGGTTCTTCAATTGTGAAAGAAATATACGTTCCCATTACGTAGACGATGTTCCGCACATGACTGTTCAGGACCTGCTGGGTAGAGCTGTTCATCTCCAGCTGTTCGGATATACTTTTTGACCAACGGAGCGGTTCGCGACCAAAATTGAGACAACGCATACGACCGGAAAGCACCACCGCCCACCGCGGGTGTCAGCCTATACATAAATCCATCCGAATCCGCAGTGTAGTGACGTGGATTTGGGACCAACCTGGGAAGGACCAAGCAAAGCTTTGATGGAAGTTCTGGATGTTCATTAAAGACCAGAAAAGATGTGGTCTAAAGAAAACAAGAGAGTGCACAGATGCTATCGATAAAGGTTGACTGGTCCCACTGGTCGTTTCCTTAGCACTAACCGCAGCAACAAGTGCTGCAGCTCTTGGTCGCATGATGCTCAACTGACAAAGACTCAGTGAAGCCCTCAAACTTCCAGTTCAAACCAGTGTGCCCAATCCCCAGACTGGTTCCTTACTGCGGCCAGACTGGACTCCAAAAACGGGGTTGATCGAAAGATCACAGTGATCCCTTGAGTGTCTTGGCCTGTAGTAGTCCTGGCTGGACTACCCAGCCCATGCAATACCACGCTCCGTGCTGCTTCGACAGGAAGTTCGGCTTGACGGCCAAAAAAACCCTTGGGCGCCTTATCGTGGGGTGCCGCGTCTTGACGGTCTTGCGTTGTTCTGCGCGACGTGAGCGGGTTTCTTCGCTGAAGCGCAGGGGTGGTGGGCCGATGTGGGCTGTGGGTGCGGCATGCTGAAGCAAACGGGAGGGATGGGAGTGAGACCCACGCCGTTCTTCTTGCGTCCACTGACTGGCGCGACTCGGAAGGAACGAGGGAATGGACCCATAAGGAATCTCTATTTGGAGGTCATTCCCTGATTCCCAATACCAATTACTTGTCAGTGCACTTCGTGTTGAAGGCAAGCCAAGGCTATCCAAGACTAGAGGAAGGGAGGTCGGAAGGTGGAAGGGAGCATCTAGGATGTGAAGGGGCTGGAAGGATTGGTTTGTCATGCTAGCTGCTAGATGCCTTGCAGGTCTTCCGCAGATAGTGATCAAAGCACTTCACAGGGATACAATTTGTAACTTGGTGTCCGTTTCGCTGGCTCGGGCCGTTGCCTGAGCACAGGTTCGTTGCGCGGAATGGCGGCAAAGATCTTGAATACCTTTGCTTAAGCTGCTCCAGCTCGAATACTTTCGCACTGATGGTTTCTCGGGAATTTGCAGAACCAATGCAGGCAACATCAGTTGTAACCTCAGTTAGCTACCCCTCTCAACTGGCCCAACCAATTCTGGGTCCAACCCCCTCGGATCGACTTCACGGACCTCTCAAGCGTTCTCTGCGATCGGCCAGCGACATGGTTTCTAGGCCCAAGTCTCGGTCTTCGTCTCTCGAGCCGCGAGGCTCGTTG